TATTTTAAACTGCTCTAAAATACTTGGATCAATGCAGTTTTCAATAAAGTTTATGGGAGAGGAAGCTCTCAAGTGTGATAAAGTCACACTTGATTGATTCTCTTCTAAATAAGGAGTCCCCAAAAACTGCCACATCAAGCGGCTGCAAAATATATGCTGCATTTGGGAACAAAGCAACAAGAATTATTCCAATTTTAGAGCAAAACTCACTAAGTTTGATAGAAAAATGTAACGCATGACCATCAAAAAAAATAATAACTGGTTTTTATTACTTCTTTTATCAAAAATGGATGAAAAATGTTTGTAATATACTCAAAAAAAAGATTCTGTGGTCATCCAACCATTTTCAATTTTTCTAATACCCTATCCTGATATAGCAGTATTTATAATTCTATTTGGAAGACGAACATATTTAAAAATTGTTAATGATGGAGCAAAAATTCTGCTGGCATTTACTGCAAGTAAAGTGGTGATGCTTTATTTATTACTTCAAGCACTTTCTTCATATGTATTTTTTCCTTGTTCACCAATTAATAAATTAGTTTTAGATGACTGAAAACCACTCTCATCCATATTGAAAACGCGCATCAAATCATTTAAATATTGAGCGTTTTCTCCTAAAAAGCTTTGGAATTTCAGTAAACCAATATTTTATGGCTCTTATGGCTTTTTCAGTTATTCCTCCTCTAGCTCGGTTTAAGTATTCACCTTGTTTTTGAGATAGTTGTTCGTGATGGCGAAGAAATGCATAAAACCAACCTTTTGCAGGACGGTAATATTTTATATTTTATAGTAAAAAAGAAACAAATTAATTATTTATTGGACATATGATATGTATGGAATGACATTTTTTTTAGTTTATACTTTTCGTACATTCAAAAATACTACATTGATACTATAATGATAAGCAGTTTTAATAATATTAATAATGATCCATGTTTTATTTACCTTATTAAATCAATTTAGAAATAAAATTTTATTTTATCTTCTTAAGTTACCTTTTTTTATTTGAAACGCTTCTAACAGCTGGTACTTATAAAAAAAGTATTTTCATAGGCTGACGTAATAAACCCACTAAGTTTATATAAGTAACTATGAATTGCAGTTTCTATGTATTGTAATAGAAGTACATGATGATGTTGTCGATAAACAAAATATTAAAAATATATAATAATTACTACTTATTGCAAAATTTATCTTAGCATTTAAAACCTACGATAAGCGTTGACTCAAGCTAGGTGTGGAAACAACCCTATAACTTTATTCTGATAAAAAATATATATAATTTAATTTTGATTTAAATAATAAATAATTTAATTCTGATTAAAAAGAAAAATTAAGTTTATTTAAAATAAAGTTAATGCTTAGGTTTAACTTAATTGTCAAATTTATTTAAAAACAAAACTAAATATTGTTCAATATAAAATTTTTATTTATTCTATAAAAAAAACTAGTTTATTTTTATTGCATTCGTTTTTTTGGTTTTCCTTCCTAAACATTTTTTTCTTCTTAAAATTAAATTTTTTATGTGTTCCAAGGCTGCATTAAAAATATGCACAAAATTTGCACTAAACCTAAAGTTTAACTTTTTTTTATAACTCAAGTTAAAGTGCAGCAATAATTTTTTAATGATATAATTTAAATAAATGGTGTTTAGAAAAAAATCTTTGCTTTACCAACAAAATTGCTAATAAAATAATAAACTTTTAATAAATAAAGTAAATAGTTAATGTAATTTTTTTTATTTGTTACTTGCTAAATTTTTTAAAATAAAAAATCATTCTTAGTTGCAAAGCCGCAATTTTTAAGAAATAATCATTTTAAAAAATTTATTTAACTAATATACTTTATATATTATATAAAATATTTTAACTCATTTATACAAATGTTGAGAAAAGAAAGAAATATGTTTATATCAAACATTTTTTTAAATGTCGTCTTAAATTTAATTATTTAAAAAAATGACAAAAGAAAATAAATATTCCTTAATTGTAATAATAAAAAACAAGTTAATACTTTACTTGTTTTGTGGTAATTAATATTATTGCAGTAACTTAAAAAAGTTAATTTCTTTAAAAAATAAAAAAAAAGAGAGTTTTATGATGCCAAATTCACATTAGGCTAATGTCTTAAGCATTTTTTATTTAAAAGAAGACCTGCAACCTCATAAGGAGATCTGAAAAAAGCTATAGTGAAAGGGTAGTGTCGTAAAACAACTCCAGAATATTGTTAGTCTCTTGTTGCTTTAGAACCACAATGAATAGAGGCTGTTCTAAAAGTTTGAAGAGCCCATACAAAGTACTAAAACATATTTTAAACTCTTTTTTCTTTTGGGTGGTGGGTGGTCAAATTTTTTTCATTACAGTATATATAAGATAATAGTATGTCAAGCAAAGCAATATTTTAAACAAGTTTTTTTTTAAGTAGCTAATAAGTAAATAATAATTAGTATTAAAGAACAACTTCCATACAATTATTATTATTATTATTATTATTATTATTATTATCATTATTATTATTACTATTATTATTATTAATATTATTATTATTATTATTATTATTATTATTATTATTATTGCTATTATTATTATTATTATTATTATTATTATTATTATTGCTATTATTATTATTATTATTATTATTATTATTATTATTATTATTATTATTATTATTATTATTATTACTAGTTCTTATTAAGGCCTAAACTATATTGTATAACGCCATGTGACCATAAGTCTCAGACTTTGCTGATTTTAATACAGTTGTTAGTACTTACTAAAATAAGAACTCCATAAAAATTTTAGCTTTGGCTCCAAGACGATGCAGAAATATGACCATTTTACTTTTAGTAGATAATGATAAGGGTCCTCTTGTCCTTTTAAAACTGCTACTAGTGATCAACCAAAACAAAAAAAAAGCTGAAACTGAAATAAACCGAAATTTCAGATTCTTTAGTTCAGTGCTGAAACCAAAACTGACATTTTGGCAAATATTTTACCAAAACAGATACCAACATTTCGGCTAGTCAAAGTTAATTTCATTATAAAAATTTATTTAAAAACTCATTTTACATTTATTTTTTTATACTCGTATGTTAGAATTGGTATCACAAATTGAGATTTTTTTTTTTTTTTTTTTTTTTTTTTTAAATTTACCTCCTCAAGGCCGAGAAGGCCACTACAGACGAGGAGGCTACTTATTTGTGGTTATAACCCTCTCTCAACTCTATAACTCCGAAACATGAACCAGGGACGTGGTGGGGACCGAACTCGGAACCACTCGTTTATGAAGCGAGCGCTCTACCACTACACCACTACCGCATTTAATATATAAGTTGGCGAAGTTAATAGCGAAAGTTAACAACTGGAAATTTTTTTTTGCAAAACAAGATTTTTTCAAGATATTTTGTGAAAAAATTCATTCATGGGAAAACTATTAAAAAATTTTGTGAAAATTCTTAAAAAGTTTTTCTAAATAAGATAAAAATTTAAAATCTTACAAATTTTCGGCTTTCGGAACCGAAATTTTGCTTTCAACTGAATTTATAAATAGTACCAAAACCAAAATTTCGGTATCAGCTCAAATTAAAATTTCAGCCAAAACCAAAATAGAACTGTGGATGATTACTAACTGCTGCGTTTATTTAGAGGTTTTAAGTTACATGACTTTAATAATATATTTGATCATTTTACTTAAAAATTTGTACATGCCTATTTTCAGGGGTGACAATAAAATGATCAGAAATTTAAAAACTATTACTAATTATCTGTATTTATCAATTTAAATAAATTTAGGAAATTTTTTACATATCTGTTTTTAATGCCCAAGAAATTTATGTAGCTTTGATACTATCAAAAAAATAAACTTAACACATCATTATATATTCATTGATCTTTCAGAATACATAAGGATTTTGATCTGCAATTATATTGATTTCTATATATGGAGAACAGGGCACAAGCCTCACTTTTTTGCGATATAGACACCCAAATATTGCGATTGATTTTTCAATCGCAATATTTGGAGCTCTGGAGCTCTGAAAATTTCAGCATTTGTTTAGCCCTGTTTAACATGTGTTAAATTGTTTCCAGGGCAGACTATCAGAGGGTCCATAGAGCACCAGGGGCTAAACCCCACTTACTATAATGAAACTTTTTTCCGATTTTAACAAAGAAAAGATAACTTTAAAAATATTATCTTCAACAATTACAAAAATACAAAATTATAAAGTGCAGTTGTTGTTACAGGTGCATCATTGATATAAATTGTGTTGGTAGAGCCAAAAGTTTGTTAAAAGCGCAAAATGGGTTTATAAATGTCACCTTAACATCTTTAACAGATGAAAAATTTTAACAATCAGATTTCAATACAATAAATTTAATTTATCATACCAATCCAATGAAACATATCAAATTTAAAACATATCAAAAGTATTTAAACAGAACAAGCTCACCAAATTTTAATGTATCAATGTTAGCTTGCTGATTAGTTTGAGAACTTTAAAGACCATATCATCATCAAAATCAGGTATATAAAAGATTGCCTAATTTTATTTAAATTGATAAATATAGGTACTTAATTATAATTATAGGTATTTTTATATTTCTGATCATTTTATTGGATTCATCACCCTTGAAAATAGCCAAGTACAAATTTTCAAGTAAAAAGATCAAATATTTTGAAAGTTATGTAACTTTAAAAATAAACATAGCAATTCTGATAGGACAAGAGGAGCCTGGTCAATATCTGCTAAAAGTAAAATGATCACATTTGTGAATCTTCTTGTAGCCAGAGGCTAAAATTTTCAAGAAATTTTTATTTTACTAAGTATACTCAACTGCATAAAAATCAGCAAAATCTGAGATATAGGGTGACATTTTAGAAAATTTTGTTTTTTATATGAAAATGATCATTATAGGACACTACATAATCACTGATTATGAGATTGACCTAAAGTTTAAATTATTACAGCTATTTGTTTTATTTAATTGTTATCTTACATTCTTCCCCATACAAGAACCAGCAAAAGTGGTAACAGACCATATGGTGATTCCAATTGCAATTAAATACTTTCGTGAATAGCGGTCGCCAAGGTATCCAAATAATGGTGCAAATGCCATATAAGCACATACAAAAACAGTTTGCAAAAGACCGGCTTTTGATTTACCAATGTTACCAAAATATGACTGAATGTCTGGCAAAACACCTAAATAAGTAACTTAGTAATATTAGTTAAAATAAAACAAACAAACAAACAAAAATTATTTACACTTACAATTTTCTACCATATAATCCAGATCTTCATAAAATGATAAAAGATAGTAATGAAATAAAGATAGTAATGTAACCTTAATCCCTACACCAAATAATATATATTCAAGCCTTGGGAAAAATGAGCTGATACTTCTTTCAGTGTGTTATTGGTTTTTGCATAAACTAACAAATTAATTTGATGTTTTTCTTACTGCCATTACTGTTCAAAGGCACAATAAAGTTTTAAAACATAATAACCTTAATTAATAGTAAAAATTTTATTATCAATTTATATATAGTCATTTACCTCAGAATTTGATGAAACTTAGTGGTTTTTTTAATATCAATGAGGAAAGCAATTTCTGAAAATATCAGCATAAAATCTTTTGTGGTTCATGAGATATGATCATTTGAAATTTCTAATTTTTAAAAAATCATGTTTTGTTCATACTTTAGATTTTAAAAACAAAATTTCAGAAAGCCTTCCAGCTTTTTTTTATTATATACAACTCTTTTTTTATTGCAAACAATTTTTTAGGCCTAAAAAATTGTTTCCAATTTGATTTTTGATGAGTCAATATACAAAATCTTCAATTTAAGAAGTGAAAAGACATTTTTTTTAGTTTCTATATATGGTAGGCTTCCAAATATTTAGTTTCTATATATGGTAAATTTTTATTTCTATATATGAGACGCTAGCTCTTTAGAGCAGTGCCCATTATAGTAATTATATAAAAGAAAAAGAGAAGCAACATGACCATACGATAATGGTTAAATTGGTTGGCTGCAAGAGCAGGTCCAACTATGTTTACAATGAGTTTTTGAACCTTGTCTAAAACAAAAAGGGTGTCATACGAAGATCCGGTCCAAATATGGCAACAGTATTCCATACAATGACAGACTCATAGAGACAAAAAATAGAATCTAGAGTAAAAAAGTGTCAAGCACAATAAAGAGATGCAACCTTAGCAAATGCTAATTTTGCAATCAATTTAATATATGGTTTCCAAGAAAGATTAGAAGAAAGAGTTAATCCTAGAAGGGTAGATGACTCATTAAGTACATTACCGTTCCAGATGATCTAGATTGTTGCTATAATCATTATCTTTTTTATCTAAGTGAGATTATTTTCAAGCTCAGATGCCTCCTTGAAACAATCAGAGAGTGTTGGCTTCTTATCAAGACAAGAATAAATAGTATCATCATCATACAGTGCCACCTTTGATGTGAGAATTTCTAGGAGATGGTTAACATAAATTTAAAAAGTATAGGGCCAAGGATAGAACATTGAGGAACCCCTGAAGTTACAGGGAATGAAGAAGAGTGCTGACCATTGAGGACAATTTATACTGTCTTTGTTAAGGAAGGATTCAATCATCTAATACACCATAAGAAGAGAGCTTTTGGAGAAAAATAGAATGGCAAACTTTATCAAAGGCTTTTGAAAATGTTGAGAGTGATAGCCTTTTACATCTATCTAATGCGCAATAAAACCTATCAGCCATTACGATTAACAAGTCAGCAGTAGAACAAGAAGATCGAAATCTATATTGATGATAAGAAAGTAAATTATTAGGCCTATATATGTATGTATATATATATATACATATATATATATATATATATATATATATATATATATATATATATATATATATATATATATATATATATATATATATATATATATATGTATATATATATATACATACATATATAGGTCTAATAATTTACTTTCTTATCATCATCAGAATAAATGCACGGAACAGAAAAACTTCTATTTTAGTTACTAGATAAATAAACTTTAATTCCTCAAAAAATAAAAGTTTCACCTGTATACTTTTTTTTTAAAATAATATTTTAAACATTAGTAAAGATTTCCAAAAAGTTACAGGATTGCACTATGAATCATAGAGTCACAGCAATCGTTTAATAGCAGTTTATAAATGATCACACAAGGAAGTCACGCATAGATGTTACGAATTTGTCAATTTCATGTAGTTATTTTTATGAAAATAATATTGAGTATTTCAAATGAAATATTATACTTCTACAACTCATATTTAATATATTTTCGATGAGAAATAGCAGTCATCAATTATTTCTAGCTAGAGTATGGCGTTTTGAAAATTATTGTATATTTTTCAAAATGTTGATATACAATTACTCAAAAAAATAAAATTGTAAAAATGTGTATATTTAATTTATTCAGATAGCCTAAAATATGATAAAAATATTTTTGTATAATTGTTCTTTAAGAACAACCAAAATAGAATGCATATTTCATTAAGTCCCAGCTTTTAATTGCTAAAACAAAGAATAATAAAAAATCACGCACAGAAATGGAAATGCCCATATATATATATATATATATATATATATATATATATATATATATATATATATATATATATATATATATATATATATATATATATATATATATATATCAGGCCTTGTTAAGAAGCGTTACGCAGCTCGCATTTGCGCTCGCCTGCGAAAAGGCTATTTGCCTATGCGTTCAGCAGTTTTGCGTTACGCAAAAACTTTAATCTTTTAGAATATTTAAACTATCATTTGATATCGTTTATGTGACGTTTATTCAGAAGAAAATAAAGTCGTAAGTAAAAGATTTAACCGCAATTGTAAACTAATAGATTTTTTGTTAAAGAAACAATTTGTTTAATTATTTTTATTGTTGTTGCTGTTAAAAATTAGTTTAAAAAAAATAAGTGTTTTAAGTTTAAACTTTTTATCATATTTAATATTAAGTTTTATATTTCATAAGTTTAAAAACATTTAAATTAAAAAAAAAAAAAATTTCAATTTATTTTATTAAATTTAAATATTTTTTTATTAATCATAGTTTTTAGTAAATAAATTTATTAAATTTAATTAAAATTCTATTATTTAATTTTAAAACTGAGCATTTTAAAATTTTTTAATTTTAAAATGCTCCGTTTTACACTTTTTTTTTCATGATAAAATTTCCAAAGTAAAAAAAGATTTAATAAATTTAATTAAAGTTACTTTAAAATGTTCGTATTACATATAACTTTATTTTAATTTTAGTTAAGTTTCAGGTAAGTTCCAAATACTGGTCTGAAAGATGCGCTTAACAAAAGCGCATTATTTTCCAGTTTTTATTTTTCCATTATTTTACAGTTTCATTCATTATTTACAGAAGCGCATTCATTTTATAACTACAAGTTAATAAATGACGTCAATACTTTTAAACTTGAGTTATAAATGTTATGTTTGGGTTTTCCTTTTGCCGTTTGCCGAAGAATTTTTTTCTTATAAAACAAACCAAGGACGTATTAATAATACGTCCTTGAACAAACCAAAATTCAAACCTATTAAAAATAACGCGATCAGTAAATAAACTCTTTAAAAGCCCAAATATATATATATATATATATATATATATATATATATATATATATATATATATATATACATATATATATATATATATATATATATATATATCAGGCCTTGTTACGAGATTTCGCTGCGTAACGGAAAAGCTGAACGTGAATAAATGTAACTTTACTCAATTAAGATATTTACATTGTTAAAAGTTAATTTATGTCACTTGCGTTTTTACTTCATTGTAATTAAATTTAAAATGACATTAAAAACTATTGTTAGTCTTTGAAACTTTTAAATTTAAATTGTACAATGTTGTTTAAAAAAAAAAAAATTTCAATGTTGGTTAAAAAAAAGTCTTCTTGTATTAAAATCTTATACTTATTTAAACTTAATTTTTTTGCTTTTAAACATTTGTTTTATGGTTGTTTTTTTTTTATTTTTTATTTAAATAGATTAAATTTAATACTTGTTTATGGTTGATTTTCTTAAAGGGATTTAAATGTACTTATAACTAAACGCATAGATTGGGTTTTCCCTTTTAAAAAAAAACGTTTGTTTTGATAAAACAAATGTTGTAAAGAAACGAAATTTACTGCTTTTTCGGCTTTGTTTTTTTTTTATTTCCATTAAACTATTTTATTTTTATGTACAGTGAAACCTAATATTTTTTTTCTCAATCCAAAAAAAAATAGTGTTTTCGGTTTTCAGATGTTATAAGCAGAATTTTGTAAGCGCATCTTTCAGACCAGTATTTGGAACTTACCTGAAACTTAACTAAAATTAAAATAAAGTAATATGTAATACGAACATTTTAAAGTAACTTGAATTAAATTTATCAAATCTTTTTTTACTTTGGTAATTTTATTAAAAAAACGAAGCATTTTAAAATTAAAAAAGTTTAAAATGCTCTGTTTTAAAATTAAATAATAGAATTTTAATTAAATTTAATAAATTTATTTACTAAAAACTATAATTATTAAAAAAATATTTAAATTTAATAAAATAAATTGAAAATATTTCTTTTTTTAAATTTGATTGTTTATAAACTTATGAAATCTAATATTTAAAATTAAATATGATGAAAAGTTTAAACTTAAAACACTTTATTTTCTTTAAGTAATTTTTAAAAACAAAAAAAAAATTATTAAACAAATTGTTTCTTTAACAAAAAATCTATTAGTTTACAATTGCGGTTAAATGCTTTTACTTACGACTTTAATACTTCTGAATGAACGTCACATAAACGATATAAAAAGATAATTTAAATATTCTTAAAGATAAAGTTTTTGCGTAACGCATAACTGCTGAACGCGTAGGCAAATCGCCTTTTCGCAGGCAAAATGCGAGCTGCGTAACGCAGCTCGCATTTTGCCTGCGAAAAGGCGATTTATATATATATATATATATATATATATATATATATATAAATTATATTTTTAATCTATATATATATATATATATATAGATTATATATATATATATATATATATATATATATATATATATATATATATATATATATATATATATATATATATATATATATATATATATATATATATATATATATATATATATATATATATATATATATAGGTTTGGCCAGGAAGGCATGCAATTTTAAGCCTTTATATGACCATGCAAATAATATTTGTTTTGACGATTTAACCAGTGTTTTTAACAAATGCGCTGAAAAAAAAAGGTTTTTGATTACAATAAAAGTAAATAACTAAAAAACGCTTATCTTTACTAATGTTTTTATAATAGCAAAACTTTTTTTAAATAAAGTAGTTAATGATTTCAAAATCATTATAAATTTTTGTTGTACAAATTTTAATCTATATCATTTAACTATATAAGATATAATTAAAATTTAAAAAAATTTAAATTAAAAAAAAAAAAAAATTTATAAGCGATGATTTTAAAAGGATTACCAAGTCCCGAGACATGTTGTGTTCATATTAAAGAGAATGTTAAAAAAAAAAACGTCTGAGTAAATTTTTTTTGATTAAAACGAACTAATAAATGTATACCAAGAAAAATAAATCTTGTTGTTTTAGTCGAAGCTTGTCTTCTCCGTTTTCTCTGGTATTTTGAGTATGTAAAATAAATGCGATTTTCCAGGCGCATTATACAGACTTGATAATTTACTCAAGCGCGTTTAATTCATAGGAGTTTTAGTGCATGACATCATAGATTTTTTTGTTTGTTTGTTTAAAACACCGATTGTTATTTTTTACATAGATTTTCCATATCATATTCATTTTTATTATATTTTAAAGTTCTAAAATGTGTTTGCAAAACAAAATTAAAAACAAAATAAAATTAAAAACAAAAATAAAATAAAAAACAAAATAGTATTTTATCTGCGCAACTTTTTTTAAATAATCGTCTAGACCACGTGTATTTTGATTTCTTTTGTTATAAGTTTTTCTTTCAAAATATTAGATAAAATAATTTTTAACCTAAATAATAATGCACTTTTATTAATTTACTTAGTAAATATTAAAAAAAAAATTAATAACGCATTTTTTCTCTGATTTTCAAAAATGTATTTTTTGGTATTGAGGTGATCTTATTTCATTATTTATATTTCCATTATAACATCCAATATATATTATAGCGGGGGCTTAAAAATTAAAAAATTAATATATATTATTTTTTATTTTACAGACATACATGGAAACATAATTAACTTGAATGTTCTTAAAAAATCTTGCGGAAGAATAAAAAAAATATTTGCGAACACTAAAAACCTGCCAAATTTGCGAACAAACTAATTCTATTAGTTCAAAAAACACGCTGACTAAGCAAAAGATATAAAAATTAAGAATATACTAATAAAAAATATAATTTGTAATTAACTTTCAAAATTTTGACAATTTAAAAAGTATATATTATAAAACATTTATTTTTGTAAACAAATGATAATAGTTTAAAAGTTTTATGGCTTTACAGATGTGGCTCCGAGAATGATCCATAGTTCTAGAGTATTCTGTTGAAATGTTATAGGAATTGTATTATTTACGATTTGTTGCGTTTTGAGATATCTAGCATAATTTTTTTTAAGAATATATTATCAAATGAACTATTACTTTAATATTATGGATCATTCTCGGAGCCACATCTGTAAAGCCATAAAACTTTTAAACTATTATCATTTGTTAATAAAAATAAATGTTTTATAATATATACTTTTTAAATTGTCAAAATTTTGAAAGTTAATTACAAATTATATTTTTTATTAGTATATTCTTAATTTTTATATCTTTTCTTAGTGCTTGGTTTAATTAACTGTTCGTTAGATTTGTAAAAAACTAACGAACAATTAATAAAATAAACTTTTAATAAAATAAGTAACTATAGTTAGCTATTTGAGTAAAATTTAATAGTAAAATTTGTAAAGAATTTCTAGAATGTTTCCAATGACGTCATGCTCTAAAACTCCTATGAATTAAACGTGCTTGAATAAATTATCAATTTTGTATAATGCGCCTGGAAAATGGCGTTTATTTTACATAATCAAAATACCAGAGAAAACGGAGAAGACGAGCTTCGACTGAAACAACAAGATTTGTTTTTCTTGGTATACATTTATTAATTAGTTTTAATCAAAAAAAAATTTGTTCAGACATTTTTTTTTTTACATTCTTTTTAATATGAACACAACATGTCTCGGGACTTGGTAGTCCCTTTAAACAGCGATGGTCGCTTTAATAATATTTTCAATAACTTTATATAAGAATTATTAAAGTTAATTCACTGAAAAGGTAAAAAAATTTTGTTAAGAAGAAAAAAAAAAAGACTTTTTTAAAAGCCATTTGAATTAAATAACTTTGATCTTTACTTATGCTTTTTTATTATTGAAAAATATTATTTAAATAAAGTAACAAATCATAGCTAATGATTTTTTATAAAAATAATAATGAATATTCTGTATATTCATTATATATATATATATATATATATATATATATATATATATATATATATATATATATATATATATATATATATATATATATATATGTATATAAAGTTAAGCGCGAACGATTTTTTTTTTTTTTTTTCAGTTTTTACATTTTCAGTTGGTTTACTTATTATATTGTTAAGCTTGTTAAATTATTTCTTATTTCATTTTTAATTATAAGTCATTTATTTTAAATAATTGATGTAAAGAAATTAATATTTGTTAAGAAATAAAAACTGTTAACATGAAGAAAACTTTTTATTTAAAACGTTTTTTATAGTTTGTATTGCAACGTTTTTTTATTTGATTTTGCGGTTTTTTAATTGCTAAATTTCAGGCTTTTTTTTTAAATCTTAGTAGAACGTAAATCTCAAAGGGAAGCTGTTATATTTTATAAAATTTTTTAAAATGCCTAAATCATATGTTGAAAGATCAAAAGCTTATAGAGCAAGAAGTAGAAAAGTGTTGTTGGAAAAAGAAAGAAAGAGAAGTTATCAAAGAAGACAGTTATTAACACCAAGAAAAAAAAACAAGCAAAAAAAATCAAGCGAATGTTTGCAACCAAAGGTTAAGAATGAAAAAAAACTTGAATTCACTGCTAACATCAGTTTGAATGTTACGCCTGATAATTCTTATAAATGCAAATTGTCAATGACAAAAACATTAAACAAGTATTAAATTATAATTTTTAATGTTATTGCTTTTGCATAAGTTGGGTTTTTTTAATATTAAATTTATATTAAACAAAATTTTTAGGACAAAACAGGCTTTTCTTAAGTCTCCAAATAAAAGACGAACTATTGTAGAGCAGTTAGGTGCTGAATATGGCTTATGCACTACTAAAGAAACCACGTGAGTTCACATCACATCAGAAGAAATTGAAAAAGTAAAAGTTTTTTATGAAAGAGAAGATATACCAATAATGTCTCCTGGAAGTAAAGATTGTATCAAAATTGACAGAGAAAAGGTTCAAAGGCGCTATTTAGTTATGAATCTAAAGCATTTTTGTGCTTTAAAACAATTAAATTATAATAAAATATATTAAATAAAATATATATAAATTAAAATAATTATATTAGTTTCCTTGACTACTTAAATGTTTTTGTTCTTTTTTTAATTAAAATTTAAGTCTAGTTGAAGAGCAAGAAAAAACTGACAACAATGACAGTTGACTTAAAAAGCAAAGTTAGGAAAGCACAACCATAAAAATTTCAAATCACATACCTAAAAACCTGTCATGAGAGAAATTGAAAGTTTTTGACAATTAAAAATGTATAACTTATAAAAAAAAATTAAAAGAATTAATATTATAACAAAAATGTATTATATATTATCTTGCAGCATATAATCAACATATAAACATAATTACTATCATAATAACAAAAATAAAAGTTTCAAAATTCAAAAAAATTTAAAATTCAAACTTGAAACTGTGAATCGATCCATGTAGTTAAGCAAATTGATATAGACCAGAATTACTGTTGTGATTATGGCACGCTTTGAAACAATAGGTCTGTTATAAACAACCACATCTTGTGCTACCTCATCATTCATTGTACTTACTTTTTCAAAAAAATTTTACTTTCACTTTAGAATAAATAGTAATTCGGAATATAAAGGTGAAAAGCAACAAGTAAATAAGGTTTGTTTCTTTTATTAAACTTATGTATGTAATACTTTTTTAATTAAGATTTTTAATTAACTTTATAAAAAAATACATGAATATATCCGAATGCAATTTGTTCAATACTTGACACATCTTTAAAATTTTCATTTGTCTCAGAAAGAAAATAAAAATGTTACAAGGGTAATTATGCAAATTTGTTTTAAGTAAATCATAAAAATTTGAATAATTGATTTTATAACATTTAAGTAATGAAAATGAAAAATTAGCTTATTTACAATAAATTACGATGTACATTAACTAATAAATGCGATTAAATGGCAAACCCTAATGTTGATTAAATAGGAAATAATTAATTTTTTTAAGAAACATTATTTAAATAAATATTTATAAAAATCAATTTGAAAAAATATATATTTAGGGAACAATAGCATTTTTGATTTTAAATGGTTTTGAATAATGCATTTTAAAAAACTCATGGCGAATCAGATTATGCCCGCCCCTCTTGCCTTTGAAGAAATATTCGGGAAATAAGGGAAATAACTTAATATTAATTAATTTTTTTTTAATTTTATTTATTACTAGCGATCAAAAACAACAAATACTATAAATCTGTTTATAGTTTAATGAAGAGGTGCTACACCAACCCCCTCTATGCTGACGAAAAGAAATACACAGAAGCTACAGACAAAGAAGCATTTGTGTCTCTAAAAGTTACTTTGCTATGCTGTCTTTGAAAGCATTGATTGATGGAGCATTCACTGTTGCTAGGGAAAGCGCATTCCATAGGACAACAACTGTATTTGAAAAAAAATGTCGTTCTTCACAATTTCGTACAAGCTGGTGCGTTCTTCAAGTGTTGTTATACGGAGCTGTTGGAGTCGATTTTCATAGGACAGCTGTTTAATACATAATATTGTTTTTGTTGCTCGATGTTGGACTTGCTCGAGGATAGTAAAATTAGACTTTAAATGCAGTGACCAGGCTTTTACAGCAAACTCAAGGTGGAGGTGAATGTAAATAAGATACAATGTGCGCCATAAATAAAAACTGCGACTGCAAAATGTTTTTTCGGCTATATCGGCTAACTCTAATTGTGGTCTGACGTTTAGGTTTTTGGAGACCATCGCACCAAGGTCTCGCTCGATTACATTCTTTTTGAGTGGATAAAGCGTGCTGTCAACGTTGGCTGTTGAGTAATTGCGCCTCGACAACGTTGGCCATTGAGTAATTGCGCGTCGACTTATTACATTAAATATTACTTTACGTTAAATATTATTTAACGTTACGTATAATATTATTTAATATTGTAATATTTATTTTCAGTTAAATCCACTTATCAACCAAAGTGAGCGTAAACTAAAAGAAGGTGATTTACTACTTTACACTTATGGATCAGTATATAAAGGTTTGCATAAATTTATATATCTCCCTATATATCCTCAGTTTTCAATACATATATATACACACACACATATTGTTTTTACTATGTTTCACAAAAATGCTTTTAAGTTTGACATTTTTATTGGTGTTATATATGCTTTAATGTATTTTTTTAATTATTTTTAGTGTACCACAAAGAGCACCTAAATCTGAATAAATAAGTTGTTTCGAGACTTACTCATTGATATGTGTTTCAAGACTCATTGATATGAACACCACGACTAAAAGAGTGGATATAAATTTTAAATCAGAAATCTGAGTATCAATTTGCAATTATTACTAATAACATTTTACAAAAAACCATACCTATGTCACAATCTGTACAATCTATATTCTAAGTATCATCTTTGTCTGAGATTGCTATTGAAGCCAGAGGCAAAAATAGCAAAGCAGCACGAGTTAGTAATGCACGTCTAACTTTTTTGGCAGAAAACACAAGGGATACAGTTAATTATGTGTTTGTGTCTTTTAATATGTACCTCTATTAAGTGTTTTTTTTAATATTATGCTATTGTTAGTAGTTTAGACTACTTTTCTTAGACTATTTTTGTTTTGTTTTTTTTTGGTAAAGAAATATCAATATAGTTTAAAATAATAATTCAAAGTTTTGTTGTTGTTGTTTTTTTTTAAAAAAATCCAAGTAATAATTTTATAATTTTTAACTAGTAATTAACTAATCTCGAAAAATCATGAGCTAAAATGTTATACTGATAAGCTATTCTGCGTTGAATTTTTAAAAAAACAACTTTTTTTTATAGCCACTAGTTATTAAAAAACATCTATTAGCACGTTGAGAAACTTTGTAAGAAACTCAAGAACAAAGAATCAGATGATAGCAGATCTGTTAATAGTTTTAATAAGTTTATATTTAATGATATTGTTTTAAAATTTCTTAAAAAGTTTGTAAAATTTTATAAATTATTGGTGCCTACTGTTTTTTGAATAAAAATATCCGGGCATATGTAATTTTCCGAAATAGTCAGAAATTAGTCCGGATAAATTGTAAACTTTTTTAAAAAAAAAACCCGGATGTTTTTCTTCTAAATATAGAAATATAAACGAAAATACAATGTTTTGTGAAAAAATCAGTTTAATATATTGAATTCTTCCTTATTTATAAGCCTATTTCCTCATTTTGTATTAGAGTGACGCATTGTGTGTTGATGCAATAATTACTGATTCGTTAAAGCGGGCAACTTGCTCGTGTTAAAGTGCCTTAAATCCAACAGATATCATCGTAACGATATTACTTTGTTTGTAAATTGTTTTAGATAACAAGTTTTAAATCAATTTTTTAATATACTTGTTTTTTTAACCAACAGGTTCTTTCAAACAATTTAAAATAGTACCTATGGATTTGGAAATATTTTCTGAATAAGAACGTATTTTAAACGTTCAAAAGACGTTTTTTTATGGTTTCATTTGGGTTATTCAAGAGCGTTTTTTAAACGGTTTTTTTAGAACGTTTTTTATACGACTTTTTTAGAACGTCTTTTAAACGTTTTTTAGGTATTGCCGTTCTAAACGTTTAAAAAAAGTTTTTTTTTTAGTTAAAAAAAAAATTTAAAAACGTTCATGTGGTTACTGGGGAAGCAGTCGTCCAGTTTAATGTTTTCTGGCAATGCTGTTGGAGAGTTTTTGCCTCCCATGCATAGTGGGCCAGAATTCACTTTTACTGGACAAAATTCATAACTAATTTAATATTAGGGCTATAATCACTAAAATTAGCACAATTACCATTGTGGCTCAAAAACAACAGACCATAAATGCAACTGATAAAACTAAACCACCAAATTTTGAAATTAAAGAAAAACCATCAAAAATTGATAATAATCCAAATACTTTTATTTTAGTTAACAAAAATAGTAAGCCTGTCCGTCAAACAAAAATTTTACCTTTAGAAAATAAACATAAATCGTCGGAACCTATATTTGGAACAAAAATTCACGGAAATAAAACTATTGCCGGTAATAGAATAATTCGTAAATTTGAGGTCTTTATAGGTGGTGTAAGCAACCAAATTAACGAAGAACAGTTTAAACTGCATATGGAAACTGAGCTAGGCATTACACCTATATCTATTACTTTGAAAAGAGAAAACGAATACAATAGATCATATAGAGTCTCTGTATATAATTCAGAAAAAGGAAAAATATTTAACCCGTCTATTTGGGATAATAATATAATTATTAAACCGTTCTGGAAAAAGCATATATACTCCATCGATGACCAACATTTCGAAACTAACGCAGACCCTAAAAAACTATATTAATCAAAATGGCTTTAAACAATATATTAAAGAAAGAAAATAGTGCAAAACCGTTTAGTGTGTATACTTTTGATTGTCTGTATATATACAATATACAATATAACGTTTCTATGCGAACACTGGGTATATAAAGTCGAATATTCTATAATCAAAAATATTTGTAAACTCCCACTCATTATTTTTCAGCCAGGCAAATAAACACGAACGGGGTCAACCTTTTAGTGGAAATGCATTTTTTTTTACGATAAAATAAATTTCAAAATATCATACCTCTGTACGAAGATGAAAATAAATTTGCAATAAAGTTACAAAAAAATAAAATTAATATTATTGTAATTGGCATATATCTAGCCTCATCACAAAAAAATCAGTCGTCATTGAAGAAATACACAAGTCAGTTGGACATACTAAAAGGAATTATGAATAATCATGCGGATACTGGTGAGATAATTATACTTGGAGATTTCCAATCTTTTCCTTACGTAATATACGATCTACTTGAAAGATCTTGGCCCAAGAGAAACAATTTGTCTAAGGTTTTATCGGAATTTATTGATTCGAATGAATTAGAATTAGTTGACGTAACTAAATGTTCCGGTCCGCCAATCACATATCGACATCTCACGGTGCCAAACTCTTCTTACATTGATCATATAGCTATATCAAAGTATACATCTCTTCTCTTTTATTAATGCATTGTTATTTCTCTTTTCTTTCAAAATGTTAGCGATCATTTACCTATATCGATTTCATTTGGACTTGAAGGTCAACATCATCAAGAAAATGTAAAAGATTTAGCAGAGGACTAAAGCATTCCAAGTTATGTCTGGAATAATTACAAATTTATAAACTTATATAATGTTCACTTAAATTCAAGTTTCATTAATTTTAACCCTAGTGGTAATTTTGAGAATGAACAAGCACTAATCAAATGCATGAAAATCTTCTTATACCATTTTTTTAATCTTTTTCTTTCGGATTCGTATGTTGTTAACATTTGATCAGATCGGTTAACACCACCCATGTTTCTATTATATTCGTTTTAGTATCAAATCGAACTATAGTATTGCCACTTTTAATCTTAGAATTCTTTATACCTTGCGGTAATTGTTTGCAATTAATACGTAAAGTACCAATGCAATCAGTATTATGATCCAGCAATACCTTACAAATTTCATAAGATGTATACCAGTTATCAATGTGTAAACAGTATCAATGTGTAAACAGTATCAATGTGTAAACAGTATCAATGTGTAAACAGTATCATATGTGTAAACA